ATGACTCTGTCCCCAGTGGTCCCCTCTGTGGCCTGCAGCAGCTCTGTGCTCCCCTGGGGCTCCAAAGGACCCCCAGAAGCCCCTCAGCTCAGTACCCCACATCCTGCCCTCCCACACCTCCCCAGCTGCTGCCCTGTCTCCTCCCTCCACCTGAGATGCTCCAATTACCATTTTGCTGATCTAACGCATCGCTGGCGTGTTGTTTCCTTTTCTTTTTTTCCCTCCCCTAAATCAACTTTTTATCGCTTAAGAAATGCTGATGAGAAGGATGAGTCCCCCAGGAGCGGCTGCGGGAGCACAGCTGCCAAGATTGGCTTTGTCATTAAATGCAATGGGAAAAATAATGCTATTTCAAGGGGTGGATGGGTGCAGCTCAGGACTGATCACTGAAAATCCAGTGGGTTTGGGAGCTGGGTCTTCAGAAGTGCACCCAGCACGCAGAATCCCTGTCCTGAATGCATCCATCACCACCCCTACAAGCCCCCAGTTTCTTGGGGTCCCATCTATTTCCATTGGGATTCAGCTTCCCCCACCCCAGGGCTCAGATAGAAGGGCACAGGCACTCGTTTTATTCCCGGCAGCAATTAAACTGCCTTCTCCTCACTGGGAGCACAGTGCTGTGATAAGATCTGTGCAGCAGGCTCTCACACTCCATCTCTTTCAGAAGGGGCTGAAGGCTCATTTATAGGGATTTTAATAGCTGCCTGGATAAACAGCGGCGATAAACCTCACTGGACTCACAGCAGGTGATTAATGCTCCCGCAGCAGTCACGCTCACTTGCCTTGTGGCCAGGACTGGTTTGTGTTATTAAGGAACAGGGGGTGGGGAGGGGGAAAAAATGTGGACTTTGCCACATTTTATTGGGTTGATGCATAGGTGTGGAGGGAACACAGAGATCTCCTCCATCACCTCATGCTTTGGTGCTCGGCGGATGGGGATGGAGGGTGAGGGATGAGGGGTGGAGGGTGAAGGATGGGGGATAAGAGATGAGGGATAGATGACAAGGGATGAGGGATGGAGGACAACGGTTGAGGAACACAGGACAAGGGATGAGGGATGGAGGACAAGGGATGAGGGATGGAGGACAACGGATGAGGAACACTGCACAAGGGACAAGCAGTGGATGATTCTGGCCCTCTGTTCTTGCCCCATAGTGCTTCCACTGGGCTGCCTGTTGGAGCCTAGTGTTGATGGGCAGCTGTCTCAAGATGCTGTCATCATCCATGGGCTTTCACGCCCTCCGCATGCTGCCTTCTGGGGCAATGTCACAACCTCAGGATGCTGGTGCCGGTCCCAGCCCATGGGGCATAGCTGGAGGAGCTCCCATAGCGGAACCCACATCTCCACTCCCTTCCCATCTCCACCCAGCCCCACCAGGCTGGTTGGTGCTGCACAGGCAGGGAAGCATGCAGTCTCGTTGGCGTTTCTCCTCTCCTGCCACCAGCCATAAACGTGTGTCCTATGGCCAACACGAGACAGGAGGCGTCAGAGGGCAGGGCTGAAATCTTGCTGACGTGGGGCATTTCTGCCGTGTTCAGCCTCAACAAATGCTGACTGTGCTCTTTTGGTGCTATGGGGTGGCTGTTACGATGACACAGCAAGCTTGCTGCCAAGCACCACACCCCAAACCAGGGGAGAGGGGATGCTCTGGGTTTTGAATGGGTATTTTAGCCTGGAAATGGCCAAAAAAAAAAAAAAAATCCCAATGGAAATATTTTGCTGATGGCCAGCAGTGCTCTGGTCCTGCTAATCTGTCCCCAAACCCAGGTGACTCATTGGGACTGTGCAATCTGAGCCATCCCATGATGCCAAGTGGGCTCAAATCCCTCTGGATCAGGATTGCAGTTACTGCTGCTCTTAGCTTGCATCGGCCACAGTACTTGTTTCAGTGGTTTGCCATCATTTTAGCACATGCAAGTCCAAAACAAACTGCAAAAAGGCTCTTTGCCACATTCCTAATTTTGCAGGATGATAAAACAGCTGTTGAGATGAAGAATTCGGAGCAGTGATGCTTTCCCTCTCCCTCACAGCGACGTCGCAGCATCTGGGAAAGCAGCTTAGCGAATGATGCGCTCTGATAATTGATTGAATTCATCAGTAAATAAGGCAGCATCATTTAAAACCACAGTTCAAAGTGGGAGGAGGAATTCTGGTGGGGTTCTCACCAGCCATCGTGCCCACAAAACCACAGCAGTGAGGGAAATCAACATTCAAGGGTGCACATCCAAAATAAAGGCCTTTTTTAGGGGTCAACCCCACAGCAAATCCATTCCCTCCTTTCCAGGAGCTCTGTGACTGCTCAAGGGGAGAGATGGATCAGATGGGAATTTTGAATGCTTTGAGAAATGTGATGGGAAAGCCAAAATGTGGATTTGAATGAAAGAGAAGGAAGAATGGCCAGGGTTGGAAGGGACCTTAAGGATCATGAATCTCCAACCCCCTGCTAGAGGCAGGACCACCAACCTCCACATTTCATACCAGACCAGGCTGCCCAGAACCCCGTCCAATCTGGCCTTGAATACCTCCAGGGATGGGGCATCCACAACTTCTCTGGGCAGCTGTTCCAGCACCTAAACATGGGATTAATCATCCCTAGATGGACACCATAGGGTGGGCTTACACCCATCGAAATCCCCAAGTGTCCCCATCCAGCACTGGGGATATCCCTAAATTCCTCCCCCTTCACACACCTCCCACCACACTGCTATCTCAGCTGATTCCTTCCAGATCTCCTAAGATTTTTGCTCTCAGATTCTTTATTTCTTCCCAATCTGTGGGACTCTGGGCCAGGAGTTCATTTCCCATCACTGCCCCTTTTTCCCCAGGGCCGTGGGCTGGGAGGTTTGGTGAGCCAGGCAGCCAAAGAGTTTGTTAAAGAGGATGAAAGCAAACAGTGCTCCTTCCCCAGCAACATCCTGCCCTTGGGCAATATGCTGCGGGGATGTTTGAGAGACAGGATGTCTGAGATTTGGGGATATCTGAACCGTTCTGGTCCCATTTCCTCCGTCAGTTCCCAGTGCCCGGTGCCAGGAGCCGCAGCCCCTCGGTGCCTCCACCAGCACACACGTGTCCACACACACATGCTGCAGGCAGGGGGATGCTGCCAGTTGCAGCTTTTGATGGAAATGCAAGTGGATGGGAAGTGTCCTCCCAGCTGGAGCAGCCACTGGGGACATGGCATCTCACCCGGGAGCCCACGTCACCCCGCAGCCCCGCGGCCGCTCGCGGTCCAGCATCCATCTCCGTGGCAACGCTTCGTGCACATCCCTCCATGTCCCTCCGGTCCACAGCACACACAGCCCAGGGTACCCCATAAATGGGGTCCAAATGGGTCCCTTTGTCCTCATCACCCACTCCAGCACCTCCAGATTGCAATGGATGTGTGGGTCCATCTGCACCATGGCACCCTGGCAGCACAGAGGCACCAACTCTCATCTTCGGGCTCGCATCCATCCCATTTGCTTTCCTGGATCACGGCCCCTTCCTCTGCCAGCACTGTCCCATGTCTGACCTCAGCTGGAAACCTTTAGGATGGGATGTCACTGAGCTGGGCAATGCAGCCATCCTGCTCAACACAACGTCCCACAGCAGCAGCAGCATTTGGAAGCGTCTCAGGTACGTCAACCACAGAAACACCGTGAGCTCTTCCCTATGGAAAAGGGCATCAAACTGCCCTTGTTGGGGTCCTCACACCATGCAGAGGTTGCAGAGCCCATTTCAGCCCGAGTGGCCGGGAAAACCCCTCCCCAGCACAGCTGGGAACAGGGGGCTGGCGCTCCTCAGGAAATCTCCATTCATTAGTGTTTGGTCATCAGCCAAATTGGAGCCAAACCAACCATTTTTCCAACTTCTCGGGGAAGTTTCTAGGGTCATGTGGGAGAGGGGATGGCAAAGGGGGGCAGGTGGGTGCCATGGTGTCCGGGCTCTAGGCACTGCTCTAAGCACTGGGCACAGGACCAGCGTCAGCAATGAAGGTTTTGTGGATGCTCGCATCAGGATGTGGTGTGATTGAGAAACTGTGATTCTTGGAAGGGGTTTATTGACGTCAGCGGCTTGCAGGCTCCTAAATCCCTTCTTTTTCTTCTGGAAGTGGTTCTCTGCATCTCATAGGAGCCACAGTGGGAGGATTTGTCCCTTTTCAAAGAGTTGTGACTTCCCCATTGGGTCGCCACAGCTGTGCCCAGCACAAAGTGGGGCCAACAGTCCAAGAGTTGCCCTGCTCTCCTCCTTAAAACTCCCATTTCCATGGTGGGTGTCTGCTGTGACCCCACAGTGTGCTGATGTGGTCAGCATGATGTGTTCAGCCCAGGGCCTCAACCTGGGCACAGCTCCCAGGGCTGGGGCCAGACCCCAGGGAAAAGGGATTTATTTAATTAAAAAGCAACAACAACAAAGAAACAAACAAAATAAAAACACGACTCATAACGAGCTGTCAAGCCCATCAAAAGTGGATCTGGTTTTCATTCGGAAAGAACTTTCTGTTACTCATTTGTCATCAGCTTAATTCCTCAAATCCAAACACTTTGTGGGACGGGATGGGATTTCCTTCACGGTCAGAAGAAACACTGCTTTCCTCTGAGAAATGAGATTAGGCCCGTGTGTGTGCCAAGAAGCTGTTGGTCAATCTGGGATGACCGTGTTGGGGTTCCTCTGCCGCAGCTGGGGGAGGAGCCCGAGGCCAGAGCCCAGCCTGGGACAGACCCCGCAGCCGCCCACCCCACGCTGCCAGCCTTCCTCCCGCTTTATTTTCATTCCCACCCTTCCCTCAATTCTTCTCCTTCTTCCCTCCCAACCCCTTCCCCTTCCCTTTGGCACGGCCGGGAGCCGAGGGGACTTTGCACCCCAAAGGCAGCGCCGTCACCCCGCTGCGGTGCAGCCCAAGGGCGAGCGCAAAAATGCTCGCTTCTTATCGGCGAGGAGAGGCAGGCACGGTGGGCAGGGTTAGCGCTGCCTTATAAGCAGGCAGCAGCGTCGGGAAGCTCCCTCGCAAGGCTCCAGCGCAGCTCCCACCACGATGCCCGCGGCTTTAGGGCTGCTGCTGCCGTGGCTGAGCCTGGTGGGTGCCCTGCAGCCGGGGCTGGAACCCCCCGAGTTCGACCCCACCGAGGCTGGGGCCGTTCTCTTCGCCGATGCCTACAACAGCACGGCGGAGATCGTCCTGTTCCAAAGCGTGTCCGCCAGCTGGGACTACAACACCAACCTGACGACCGCCAACGCTGCCCTGCAGGTGGGTGGTGGGATGGGGACAGCGGGGAGTGGGTGCTGCTGGGGGGAGGAGGGGGAGGTTCGGGATCGGCGTCCACCTTCCTCTCCTTCCTCCTTGTAGGTTCCTTCCTTAGTGCCCCAAGGCGTTGGCACAGGGCTGGGACTCTCAGCCTGGGAATTGCAATGTTTTCCCCCCAAATTGTCCGTCTGGTGAGCCTCCAGCACAACAGCCCTGGCCCCACGGCAGCCCGGGTTTATTTTTAGAGGTGTTCCCCCATTCCCAGCACTTTTCACTTCCCTGCCCCCCTCTCCCCCCCCTTCCCATATCGGGGTCAGGTGTTAAGTGTCCCTGGCCCTGCCCCCTCCAAGTCCCAGGCACTGTGCCTTGCCAGAGCCCCAAGTGTGAATATGCAGCAGGGTGGCACCGGGGCAACATTCTGTCATCCCCAACCCATGGGGACAAAGCTGGCTTTGGGGACGTGCTCCAAACATGGGAAATCTGACATCTGCCCAGCTGGTGCTGGCAGATCCCAGAGGAAAGCGATGCTGTGGGTTCCCTGCAGGTGTGGAAGGGGTTGGCACGTGGAGCTGCACAGCTGTGCCTGGCCCCTGTTCTGCTTGGACATTCCTCTAATGCTTGTTGGATAAGGGGAGCTGCTATGGCCACAGCACAGGGACACACACGTGACGTGGGGACAGGGATGTGACTTGGGGTTATGGACATGATGGCATGGGGACACAACCACAGCGCTGTATGCAGCTCAGAGCTACATGTGCCACCCCCCACAGCAAATTGGACACAGGATCAGCACAACCTATACGTGACCAACTTGCATTTGGGGACCTGTGTGTCACCTCCGTGCCCTAAGCAACCATCGCACAGCCCCAAGCCTGGCCAGCAGCCTGTGGGACAGGAACACACATTGTGTGCTGCTTGTTGGTCCATGCAGGGCACAGCAGGGACAGGATGGGGACGAACACTGCCAGGGCTGCTGCCAGCTTGGCAGGACACCCCATGTTCTCCCTCCAGCCTTTTAGGGTGAGTTGAAGTGAGGTCTGGGTACACACCCAGCTGTGGATGTTACAGTGGGTACAGGGACCTCTGGGCACAGTGGGTGCATCACAACCACTTGAGGCAGTGGGGTTGGAGGCACCCCAGAGCAGCTTGTTCTCTTTCCCATGTTAATAAATACCTCAGGATCACTCACTGTGCATTCACTGTGATGTCAGTGCTTCTTGAGCCAGCCCCACTCCCTTCCCAGCAGCTCCTGGATGGTTTTTGGGATGAGAGGCGGGAGATGGATTGAACTTTTCTGGCTGCTGTGCTCAAAGTTTTGCCCCCTATGGGAGATGCTCCCAGTGGTTTGCAAAGCACCCAGCACACCGTTTGCCCAATCCCAATGCAGTGTTACCCCAGGCAGAGAGGGAGAGGAGGGGATCCAGCCCCTGACATCAGCCCATCAAAGAGACAGCAGGGATGTGAGCTGCATGACTCGCAGACCGAGCACCAAAGGGTTAATGGGGTGACCCAAAGGCTGAATCTGGGGGGGATTTGGTGAACCCTTGGGCCAGGCAATCCCTGCTCAGAGCTATAGCACAGAGGGGCTGAGCCAGCTGTGTGATCCCCCAGGACCTGGCACCCGAGAGGTGGCCCAGGGGACACAGTGGCACTGGGCAGCAGCAGCCCTCAGCCATGCAGGGATGGGCAGAGAGATCCTGGAAGGACAGAGGGGTCTGGGGCAGAGATGGCAGCCTCAGCTCACACTACCAGAGCTGTCAGGAGAATTTAGGGCATGATTGGTCTGACCAAACACAGGCGGCTGCTCAAGGAGAAGACAAAACACAGCTGGACTCTGCCTCCTGCATCTCCTGGCTCAGAAACAGGGTGCTGGAAGGGATCAGATCTCCCTCATGAGCCTCCACACGTAGTGGGGACTCCCATGGGTGGGGGGCCCTTGCTGCGGGGTGTCCCTGGGTGATGTCCTTAGGGTGAGGCTGGAGGCACCAGGATGTCCCAAGGAGGGCTCCTGACTTTGCTTCAGGCATCTCCCTCCCTCCCCCAAGCCACCTCCAGCCCCACTGCACTGCAACTCCTATCCCTGTAACTGCAACTCCCATCCTCCCAAGAGAATGTGGAGATTAAACTAAAACAAACCAGGCTTGTTGGGGCCAGGCTGGAAACGCCACGCTAACAGTTAATGAGCTCCATAAATCATTCTGGGATGGCATAGGGCAGGTGCTGTGTGTGTTCTCACTGCCCACTGCTCAGGCTGGGATTCTCCCAAAAAAATCAGTGTTTGCCTATTGGGTGTGTGGATGCTACTGCCTGCAATGAGCCTTTTCCCAAAACTGTGGCTGCTGGCTCCAGCTGCCTAAATAATTCCCACGGTGCAGGAGCTTCTGCTGTCCCACAGCCTGAAAAGTTAGGTTGGGGCTGGCAGAGTTGGAGGCTGGAGATGATGGGAGCCCCAAAACTGAGTGCATCTCCAGGGGTTGCATCTCCAGGGCAAATGAGTGCTCCTTTGCCAGGTGAAACCCAGGTGTGGGGCTCATAGGGCACAGAGCAGGGGTTGCCCACGTGGCATGGACTTCCCATCCCTGTGTCCCCATCCCACCCAAGCTACAACATCGCCTCCAAAACAGTCTCAAATGCCACCTCCTTGTCTGCAGCTTTGGATTCTGCTGGAAACTGCTGTCTCTTTCTATAAATGTCACTTGGGGATGTCTCTGTTTGTCCCCACATGTCCCGTGCCTTCTGGCTTGCACAAACCCTCGTGACACTGCGTGCAGTGGCACATCCCCCCTCTCTCCATGCAGGTCGAGGCATCGCTGGAGGAACAAAACTTCACAGAATTGTGGGGCAAGAAAGCCAAAGAGCTGTATGGCAACATCTGGAGCAATTTCAGTGACACACAGCTGAAGAAAATCATCGGCTCCATCCAGACCCTGGGGCCCTCCAACCTGCCCCTGGACAAGCGGCAGCAGGTAGGTGATGTGTTGGTGAAGATGGAGATGCTTGCATGCTGCTAAATCCTCTGAAAACCATTTTTCCCTGAGCATCCAGACCCCTCTGCTGGCCCTTCATTGTGTTTTGGGGGGATGATGTGGAGTGGGGAAGTGATGGAGGGGACAGATGGGATTTGTGGTTCCCCCTTGGAGATGCACATAGCCGGTATCAGTCCCTAACATCAGCACAGAGCTACCTGTGAGGAGGAGCTGGAGATTTCCTGCTTACACTGAGGGGCTCTGGGTGTGCCCTGCATACCATCCAACATATACCCATGGTTGGAGACCAGCTGGCTCAGCTGTTCCTGAGCACAGCCCAGCACTGGGTACGTCAGGATGGCCTGGGACTTCCCCATAGTAGTCCTGAGCTTGCGGGGTCTGCAGCTTAAATGACAGTAAAATACTCCAGGCTGCAATGTCTGTGCATCTCTGCTGGCTCTTGGGTTACCTCTCCACTGCAACATAGCTTGGCTTGTGAACCCACTGATACAATCCTCATAGAAGCAGCATTGGCCCCGGTTCCTTCCTGGAAACCTATCCCTGATAACAGAGAGCATCACATCTCCCCACACATCATCTGCATTTCCCCCTGCTTGCACCATCTGCCGTCATCCAGCACTGTCCCTTCCGCCCACCCCAAACAGAGGAATGGGGGAGAGAGAGGGACGGAATTTCCTTCCCTGGGAATGAGCTCCCTGGGCACGTTCCAGGAAACCTCCTGTCGCTATTGTTTGCTGTTGTTGAAGTTTGGAGAAATAAATACCCTTCCCTCCTCCTGCTCCTTTTTTAATTTCTTTTTTTTTTTTTTTTTTTTTGCCCTCTCTGATAAACAGGCTGTTCTATCTGATGAAGGGCACTATAAATAGCTGTGCTGCAGGACATGGAGGCTGTGCATGGGTTGTCTGTCCCAAAGAGCCTCTGCACAACGAGCGCAGAAATGATGCTCACCTCCCCCAAAATTGTGTTGTACAAACACACTGGGTCCTCTTCCGGACACACTCATGTGCTCCGGAGGTGGGAAGTCTTTGTAAATCCTGCCTGAACAGCCATTCCCACCCCCTTCCAGCCCCAATGCCTTTTCCCTCCCCACAGTACAACAGCATCCTGAGCGACATGGACAAAATATACTCCACAGCCAAGGTGTGCCTTGACAACGGGACCTGCTGGGATCTGGAGCCAGGTACAGATCGTTCCCATCCCTGTCCCCTGCTTCCCAGTGACCACATCCAGTGTGCTCCGATCCCCAGCTCCTCAGCAGGTCATGGTTGATAGGATCCTGGTTTGTGTTCATGGGGTTGGGGATGAAGAATGGTTTGAAGGATCTGGAGCACAAGTCTGGAGCACCATGGTGGTGATGGGTTGATGGTTGGACGAGTTGATCTTAGAGATCTTTTCCAACCTTACTGATTCTACGAGTTGGGCACAGTAGGGATGGGTTGGTGGTTGGACTTGATGACCTTTGTAGTTCTTTTCCAATCTTATGTTCTATGATTCTGTGATCTGTGTCCGATGCAATGGTGGTGGCACCTCACAGACCAGCTGTGGGACGTGCCCTGCTTCTGCTCCCCCTTCCCACTGGGCTCTCATGTTCTGCTTGTCCCCTCTGTCCCAGACATCTCAGACATCATGGCCAGCTCCCGCAGCTACAAGAAGCTCCTCTACGCCTGGGAGGGTTGGCACAATGCTGCAGGCATCCCACTGCGTGCCAAGTACGAGGAGTTCGTGACGCTGAGCAACGAGGCGTATCAGATGGACGGTGCGAGCAGGATGGGGGATATGGGGGGGTCCCGGGGTGGGAATCAGGCAGTGTGGTGTCCCGCTCTCCCCATCCCTTATGCACAGAGCTTCCACTTCCCCCTGCCCAGGTGTTGACACCTTGAGGTAGGAGTAAAATTCCCACTGATGCTCAACAGTCCCAGCTCTTGGGGCTGGATATAGGGGCGGCCCTTTGGGGTTAAAGCCAGGGGTCATCACTGCCTCCCTGCAGGATTTGAGGACACAGGCAGCTACTGGCGCTCCTGGTACGACTCTACCACCTTCGAGGATGACCTGGAGCATCTCTACAACCAGCTGGAGCCACTCTACCTCAACCTGCACGCTTTTGTCCGAAGAAAGCTCTATGATCGCTATGGCTCCAAATACATTAACTTGAAGGGCCCCATCCCTGCTCACCTCCTCGGTAAGGGCCAGGGGTGCTGGTGGGGCTGGAGAGCTGTAACAGGACTGGGGGAGGGGGAGGGTCCCAACTATCGCTGTGTTTCTCTTCCTCTTGTCCCATCTCTGTCTCCACTCTTGCTGTTCTCTGCTTTCAGGAAACATGTGGGCTCAGCAGTGGAATAATATCTATGATCTAATGGTCCCCTACCCTGATAAGCCCAACCTGGATGTCACAAGCACCATGGTGAATCAGGTACAGGACTGAGGGACTTGTTAGTGGCACCAGTTAGAAAAAAAAAAAAGGGGAGGTATTGGCCATACCATTTAGCCTATGAGGGTGGTTGCCCATATCTGCATGTTGAACAGCAGAAAAGCCATTTTGGGGGAGGGTTAGGAACACAGGAATGACTCCACTTCCCCTCCAGAAATGGTCAAAGAGGCAGCGGATGAGAAAAGGGTATGGTGATGCAGTGGGACCAGTTCTGGGTTCTATATTTACACCATCCCACATGTCCTACCAGGGCTGGAATGCCACCCACATGTTCCGGGTCTCGGAGGAGTTCTTCACTTCCCTGGGGCTGCTGGAGATGCCACCTGAATTCTGGGAGAAGTCCATGCTGGAGAAGCCAACAGATGGCCGGGAAGTGGTGTGTCATGCCTCAGCATGGGACTTCTACAACCGTAAGGACTTCAGGTGTGTGGGTCATGCGGGGTCTGCAGGACAAGACCCTCCTCAGTCCCCCTTGATGGTCATCATTTTGGGTACCCCCAGCCTGAACTTTCCCTTTGTGGGATAAGTTTTCGAGGTACCACACTGCTCTGCTTTCCCCTTCACTGAGTTTACATTTTCCACATGGAGTTCTGCCACCCTATAAGGAACCCTGAGGTCCTATCAAGGGGTGCATGAGCAGGGCAGGAGCCCTCACCTGGCTCAGGTAATGCTGCTTTCACCCGACAGGATCAAGCAGTGCACAACAGTGACCATGGAGCAGCTGTTCACAGTGCACCACGAGATGGGCCACGTGCAGTACTACCTGCAGTACAAGGACCAGCCTGTCTCCTTCCGTGGTGGTGCCAACCCTGGCTTCCATGAGGCCATTGGTGATGTCATGTCCCTGTCCGTCTCCACTCCCAGCCACCTTCAGAAAATCGGGCTCCTCAGCAGTGCTGTCGAGGATGAAGGTACGGCAGCTGCTCTGCAGATCTGGAGGGTTGAAACACTGCCCGTGGCACCAGAAAGGGAGGGGGGTGTGCCAGGTTAGGCTGCGGTCTGGCAACACAGCCCAGAGAAGGAGAAGCGCCATGCCTTTTACTCACGCTTATTTACAAGCGCAGACCCTTCTTTTCTCTGTGGATCCATGCATGGATACCTTCTTGGCTCCACAGACAGCCCCTTCTTGACTCATGACTACATGGACATTTCCTGCTTGTCTCCATCAACAACCCCTTCTTGACTCATCAAATCATAGAATGGCCTGGGTTGAAAAGGACCACAGTGATCATCTGGTTCCAACCCCCTGCTGTGTGCAGGTCACCAACCACCAGACCAGGCTGCCCAGAGCCACATCCAGCCTGGCCTTGAATGCCTACAGGGATGGGGCATCCACAGCCTCCTTGGGCAACCTGTTCCAGTGCCTCACCACCCTCTGAGTTCATCCTTTTCACCACCAAGAGCAGCAGTTCCCTTCCCCAGCAGTCCCAAACCTGACAGCAGCATCTCTATGCTTTATCAGCATCAGTTTTTCTGGTGTTTCCCCTCCCCTCATCAAGAAGCTCCCAGGAGCCCCATGAGCAGCTCTGCAGAAGTAGCACTGAGCTCTCACGTGCTCAGTCACGAGGGCAGTCAGTGGATGACACGTCCGCCTGCCAGGCAGTGCAGCAGAGGAGGACTTGTCACTGCAGGACACTGCCTAGCTTGGCAAGGATCTCCTCCCTGCAGCCACCTCTCAGCCAGCACATCAAAGCAGATGGCAGCAGAGCAAACAGAGTGTTCACAGCCTCCTGCTGCAGGCGGCTGCTTTGCAGAGGGAGAGTCCCGGGTCCTCCCGCCTTGTCATTAAATCCACTCCATGACGGGGAAGCTGTCACAGCATACAAGAGTGCTGGGCCGGTGTTGTACAAGCATGGAGCAGATGGTCCCTTCCTCCAGGCATCACTGTCTGACTAACGGGTCCTTGGCTGGCACGCCAGCACTGCAATGGCAGCCAGCAGCCCTTCAGAGCACTGCTGCCAACCCTCCCCGACCCCACAGCTTCAGCTGGGTCTCCAGCTGGTCCTTCTTCAACCTGCCTTTGCAGGGTTTCCCCAGGGAGCAGGGAAAAGCAGATGTCACCACCTGCTGTGCTTCCCATGGAATGGTGGTTGCTGTCCCAGTTTTGACTCCAGTTCTGGATTCAAACTGTAGCGTTGTTTGTTGCACCATATCAGCTCTGGGGAGCAAACCCCTTTCAGCCTGAAGACCTTATAGAGTGAACGTGTGCATTAAGTTACCCTCATCAGAGACCTTTTCATGCTGAGAGCCAGGCTGAGGGCAAGGGAACACTGTGTTTGTCACTTCCAAGTTGCCCCAGGCAGGAGCTGCAGCTAGAAAAAACCTCCTGTGCCCCATTGCAAGCTTCACTAGAGAGCAAAACTACAAGTTGAAATGCTGTTCCAACTGCTCATCCAGCTCTCCTCACCCTCTTGGCAACAAAAAGTCTGGTGACCTTAGTGCTGTCCACCCAGGCTCGTTCCCAGCCCCATCCAGGCTCTGTTCCCTGCAGAGAGCAACATCAACTACTTGCTGAAGATGGCTTTGGAGAAGATTGCCTTCCTGCCCTTTGGCTACCTCATCGACCAGTGGCGCTGGAATGTGTTCAACGGCCGCACGCCCCCGAGCCGTTACAACTACGACTGGTGGTACCTGAGGTAGGGAGGGTCAGCGAGGGTGGAGGCATGCATGGAGGCTGAGGATGTGCAGGGAGGGAAAAAATGGCAGTGGAAATGGCTGGCTGGATGGATGGATGGATGGTTGGGTTGAGGAATGCAAATACAGGAAAGGACACAACTGTTCAGCTCTCTTTAGCACCGTGTCTTCTTTTCCTGTTCCCTTCCTTGCTTCATCTGGCTTTCTCTTTCCAGTTTGTATCCTCATTCTCTGTTGTCTACAGAACCAAATACCAGGGTATTTGTGCTCCAGTTTCAAGGAATGAAAGCAACTTCGACCCCGGAGCAAAGTACCACATCCCTGGGAACACCCCTTACATCAGGTAGAGGAGGTGCTGGGAACGGGTGGGGGTTTGTGGGGGGTGTAGGGACCCCAACTCTCAGATAGAGGCTGGGATGCATTGCTCCTGCTCAGGACACAAAGAACATCCAGTGCTTGGTAGCAAAAACAGTGGGGAGCAGACGTGTGGCAAGGTGCCTTCAGCCGTGCCCTGGGACACATCTGCTTCCCTTTGTCCCCAGTGCTCACCTTCACGGGCTTCCTCGGCAGGTACTTTGTGAGTTTCATCCTCCAGTTCCAGTTTCACAAGGCGCTGTGCCAGGCGGCCAACCACACCGGTCCCCTGCACACCTGTGACATCTACATGTCCAAAGAGGCTGGAGACAAACTCAGGTGGGGACAGAGGAGGGTCGGGACAATCGCCACGGGCAGATGTGTGCGTGGAAGCTGATGGTGTGCAAGGAAGAAAGGAAGGAAAGAAGAAAGGAAGGAAGGAAAAAGTGGCCATGGAGATGGCTGGAGAAATAGCTTTGCAGATGGATGGATGGATAGATGGAAATTCATGGAAGCACTGGGGTGGGGTGAGTGGTCCTCACCAGAGTCCTGCTATTATCCCCATCACTAGCTCCACCCAGACAAGAGGTCACTGAAGCATGTTTGGTTCCCATTGACTCCCTGGGTGTTAATGAATGCATGAGAATGTGATGGAGAGTTTTCAGCCCCCAAGCACAGGATAGCTGGGGGGCTTCAGTGGCAGTTTTCCAGGTTTGTGTCCCTCTCAGGAACAGTATCTTCAGCCCTTGTGGTGTTGAGATTCCACCACTGCTTTTTTCCCATCCATGCCCTGGTCTCATGCCAACTCTTACTTTCCCATTCCATTGCAGGGAGGTGTTGAAGGCTGGGTCTTCCAAGTCGTGGCAGGAAATCCTGTTCAACTTCACTGGCACGGATAAGATGGATGCTGGGGCACTCCTGGAGTATTTCAGCCCTGTCACCGCCTGGTTGCAGGAGCAGAACAACAAGACCAACGAGGTGCTGGGCTGGCCTGAGTACGACTGGCGTCCCCCTGTCCCTGAAGACTACCCTGAAGGCATCGGTAAGGCTGGGACTGGGAGAAACCAAAGGAAATCACTAAACCCTAGGCAAGACGAGGTTTCTGCTGCAGATAAGTGGGGCCTCCATACCAGGAAAAAGAGAAATACTCAGCCTAAGGGTGTTGTTTCCTGGGTGGTTTCATCTTCCATTGAAGCAGGTGCCATTCGCCTGCCCAAGTGGGTCTAGAGTGTGTTTGTCCTGATATCCCACGGGAAGCTTCCATCTGCAGCCTCCTCCCAGCTTGTGGCATCCTTTAGTAGACCTGCAGCTGTGGGAAAGATTCAACCATGGAAAGATGCTCTCGTAAACAAGACTTCCTCTCTCTTCCCTCATCTTCCTCTAGACAAAATAGTAGATGAAGAACAAGCTAAGGAGTTCTTGTCCGAGTACAACAGCACGGCTGAAGTGGTGTGGAATGCTTACACTGAGGCATCCTGGGACTACAACACCAACATCACTGACCACAACAGGGAAGTCATGGTATGGAAACAACCCTGGGATTGTATGGGGAAGAACATGTGAGAAGCCATGAGGATGGTGGCAGCTGTGGCATAGCAGGCGGTGCTTCTGGTGATGGCCTGTCTCAGGGATCTCCCTCAGGTGACTCCTCTCCTGTCTCCTGTTTTTACAGCTGGAGAAGAACTTGGCCATGTCCAAGCACACCATTGAGTATGGCTTGAGAGCCAGGGAGTTCGACCCCTCGGATTTCCAGGACGAAACTGTCACCCGCATCCTCAATAAGTTGAGTGTCCTTGAGAGGGCAGCCCTGCCTGAGGATGAGCTGATGGAGGTGAGCTGCAAGGGGACAGAGCAGGGCTGGGTGTCCTTTGCCACTATTTTGTGTGAAGACAGGTTTCTCCCAGCTCTTAGGAAGTAGCAGTGGGCAGCTGCCCCTGCCACTGTAGAAAGTGATGGTTTGGGACCTCCTACACAAAGGGAAGGTCCTTGCCTCCAGGGTTTCCCACCCAAATGTTGTCAATGCCATCCTGCAGTGGGGTCCAGCTGCTTGGATGACAGCAGCACCTTGTGTGCTGGCCCAACACTTTCCGTACTGATTCAACTTCTGGGCTCACACAACCTTCCAGGACAGTGTGGAAGGGGGCAGAAGGAAACACCCAGAGGCTGTGTTGTTCCCCAGGAGCAGGAGCAAGGATAAGAAGCTCACATAATGTGATCTCCTTTGCAGTACAACACCCTCCTCTCAGATATGGAGACCACATACAGCGTAGCCAAGGTCTGCAGGGAGGACAACACCTGCCACCCCTTGGATCCTGGTAAGAGCTGGCAGGGAGTTCAGTGGTTCTTCTGCAGCAGCCCCAGGAAAGAGGGATTCTTCACAGGGGTGCAGAGAAGGGTCACCTTCCACCCTCTCTGTGACGCCCCCTGAGCAGTGCATTGGGTCTAGCATCTTTGCAGCAGGCCAACCCAACCAACACCATCAGTCTGCCTTCATTGCTCTCTCTTCAGACCTCACAGACATCCTGGCTACCTCACGGGACTATAATGAGCTCCTCTTTGTCTGGAAGGGCTGGCGGGATGCTTCTGGGGCGAAAATCAAGGACAAATACAAGCGATACGTGGAACTGAGCAACAAGGCAGCTGTGCTCAATGGTCAGTGTCCTACTCCTTCAGACACCCACCATCACCTTGGAACCCTGTGAGCAGGGAATTGAGCTGATCATCCAGATCAGAGCCAACATCTTGGAGGTCCCACCAATTCTCATTGGGTCCTCTGTCTCACTGGGGAAACCTGGGGTGCAAGACTTTCCCAAGAAGGGAATTGACAGCTTCTGTTCTTACTCTACCACAGGATACACAGACAATGGAGCTTACTGGAGATCCCTGTATGAGACATCCACCTTTGAGGAAGATCTGGAGAGGCTGTACCTGCAGCTGCAGCCTCTGTACCTCAACCTGCATGCCTACGTACGTCGAGCCCTGTACAACAAATATGGAGCAGAGTACATAAACCTGAGGGGTCCCATTCCTGCTCACTTGCTGGGTAAGGGCTTTGCTGGGCAGAGTTGTGTTTCCCAGAAAGAAGATTGCTGCCGGGCTAATCTTGTGCACAAGTTGAGAGTAACTGGTTGCCTTTTCTCTCCTCTCTGTGTCTCCCTCCTGCACTTCCCAGGGAACATGTGGGCCCAGTCATGGTCCAATATCTTCGACCTGGTGATGCCCTACCCAGATGCCACCAAGGTGGATGCCACCCCAGCCATGAAACAACAGGTCAGTGCTTTCACAGCTTGAACTGCCCCTTGGGAGCCAACGCCAACACTGCACAATGCTTTGATGCTACCAAAAACCTGTATGAAACACCTCTGTTCTTTCCCCATCTGGATGTACCACAGGCTGGACCCAGCTCTAATTGCCACCTACAGATCTCCCCTCCCAGAAGGACAAGACTGTCCCCAGCCTCCCTCCAGCAACCCCAGGAGTCTCCACTGCCCCTCACCAAACCCTCTGTCTGCTTCTCCCCAGGGCTGGACTCCCAAGATGATGTTTGAGGAGTCAGACCGTTTCTTTACCTCCCTGGGCCTCATCCCCATGCCGCAGGAGTTCTGGGACAAATCCATGATTGAGAAGCCAGCAGATGGGCGGGAGGTGGTGTGTCATGCCTCAGCCTGGGACTTCTACAACCGCAAGGACTTCAGGTAGGATGAGGGCACACAGACCCACTGGTAATCAAGATGCTGGCATTGCTGGCAGTAGCCCTCATGGCAGATGGAGGGCAATCCACGCCTACCCCGACTTGCCCTGGAGGATGAAAAAGGCAATGAACACCAGCAGGGAATGGGCAGGGGCAGCAGGAAGGCAGCAAGATGGCCAGAGACCGACCCCGTGGAGCAAGACCACCCCAGTCTGGCATCAGACCTGGGGAGGGGAGACATGGAAAGAGAAAATCAGCTTTATGGGGTATGGTCTTTCCTGAAGACTTTGATCCCTCACCACTGCCCTCTGTTCTTTCCCCCTCCCACTTATCCCCATCCAGGATCAAGCAGTGCACCGTGGTGAACATGGATGACCTAATCACAGTGCACCACGAGATGGGCCACGTGCAGTACTTCCTGCAGTACATGGACCAGCCCATCTCGTTCCGTGATGGAGCCAACCCTGGCTTCCACGAGGCCATCGGGGATGTTATGGCCTTGTCTGTCTCCACCCCGAAACACCTGCACAGCATCAACCTGCTGGACCAAGTGACAGAAAATGAAGGTGAGCTGGCATGGGAACACCACACAGCACAGTGCTTGGGGAGGCAGCTGGAAATGTCGGGGAAGAAGGTACCAGGCACATGCACAGTGTCTGAGTATCAATGGAAGGGACAAGATGCAAGAGGGACACTCTGCTGTTGGGTGGAATGATCCATACTGGGTGAGGAGGTGGCTGCAGTACTGCCTTGTTCACATCTTCTCACCCTGGGCAGAAAGTGACATCAACTACCTGATGAGCATCGCCCTGGACAAAATTGCCTTTCTGCCCTTTGGATACCTCATAGACCAGTGGCGCTGGAGGGTGTTTGATGGGCAGGTCAAGGAGGATGAGTACAACCAGCAGTGGTGGAACCTCAGGTATGCTCACATTCAGACCTCTCTTTGGTGCTTGGCCATCATTCCTCTTTGTGTTTTCTCCATGTGACCCAGATGACTGCAATGGGGACGTGGTGGGATACATAATCCCTCATCCTGTCCTCACAACCCTCCATAACTCAAGCTAGACTAATTCTCCCTCTCTGGCCCAGGCTGAAGTACCAGGGCTTGTGCCCACCAGTACCAAGGTCTGAAGATGACTTTGACCCAGGGGCAAAGTTTCACATCCCTGCCAACGTCCCCTACATCAGGTGAGCAAGCAGAGCTTGGTCAGGGGGCAACTCTTGGATAAATGAGCCCAGGCAGAAGTTGGATTTGGGAACTATCCAGCAAGGATGGGCTCATCTCTCCAAGTAGCTGTAAGCACACGTTAAAAGGAAAAATGGCATCACCAGATTGGGCCAAATTGATGCAGATGGAGCTTCAAAGCCAGTAACACTTCTCCAAGCTGAGATTCTGCAGGAGGGGGGGATTCAGCTCCCTTCACAGCCACTAACAGGATCTGTCCCCATGTAACCCTGCAGGTACTTCGTCAGCTTCGTCATCCAGTTCCAGTTCCACGAGGCGCTCTGCAAAGCAGCTGGGCACACGGGACCCCTGCACACGTGTGACATCTATCAGTCCAAGGAGGCTGGGAAGCTCCTGGGGTAGGTGTATGGGCAGGGCAGGGCCTTTATGTCCAAATACCTTAAAGTCAAGCTGTGGCTCAGGAAGACGGAAGGCAGTGCAGCTCCTGGTGCCCCATCCCTTCCTTGTTCCAGCCACGTCCCCGTCCCTGGGCTGTGGGACCCTGGGCTGGGCGCTGCAGCTGTGATTGCAAAAGCAGCCACTAGATGGTAGCTGGGACCCTGGCAGGGGGGAAGGCTCACTTCTCCTCCTCCTCCTCCTCCTCCTCTTCCTCCCCCGCCGGGCCGCGCGCGCCTTCCCCCCTGTTCCTTGGGGAAAACAGCCCCCTCGCTTCATGGAATTTGCCTGCAAAATTAACCCTTTCAACCCATAAAGTGAACTGCATCAGGCTGAATTCACTGGAGGGTTTTATTCCAACATCCTACATGAATACCTCTCTCCGTGCTCACAGCCCTGTGGGTGTCAGAAGGCACAGACTGTGCCCCAGGGCTGCTGGCACCAAGAACCCCACGCCTTGGGGAAGATGAGGGCCATGAGGAATCCACTGGATCCAATTTCTCCCCCCACAGAGATGCCATGAAGCTGGGTTTCAGCAAGCCATGGCCTGAAGCCATGCAACTCATCACGGGGCAGCCCAACATGTCAGCAGAGGCCCTGATGAGCTACTTTGAGCCCCTCATGACATGGCTGGTGAAGGAGAACACGAAGAATGGGGAGGTGCTGGGCTGGCCCGAGTACAGCTGGACTCCTTACACAGGTACAGATGGGAATGGGCTGGATGTGGTCCACGGTGGGGGCAGATTTTGGTCCTCACCAGGGTAGGGATGCAGTTCATAGTAGGCATGGAGCTGCTCCTTTTGGCTCCTTGGCCACCCCAAAAACCACAGGGGATTTGGATGTCTCTCATTGATTTCACAGCAAGCTGAGTCTCAAGCAAACAAGTCGCCTAAGAGCTCAGCCAAGTTGGGGCAGGTGACCCAGCACCCAGCTCAGAGCCACCAGCACCAACCATATCCCTCCTTTCTCTATTTTCCAGCCACCGAATTCCGAACTGCCACTGACACAACTGATTTTCTGGGCATGTCTGTGGGCACCAAAGAAGCCACTGCGGGTGCCTGGGTCCTGCTGGCACTGGCACTTGTCTTCCTGATCGTCTCCATTTTCTTGGGTGTCAAGTTGTTCTCATCAAGGAGAAAGGCCTTCAAATCCAGCTCGGAAATGGAACTGAAATAAGGCAGCCACAGACGGGGGAGCACAGACAGGGTGCGAGCGCGGGCACTTGGGCAGCTGGTGGCAATGCTGAGGGCACTTCTGCCCACGAAGCCATGGGTTTCCACAGCCCAGGATTCCTGTCTCCAATCAGGTTGGACATTAATTTTTTTCCACTATGCAAGAGCCAAAGCAGAAAAGAGCTATTTATTTGCCAATATCTGCATAAAAGGAAGAGAAATTCAGGCACCGGCAGGCACGGAGCCATCAGGGACTGCTCCTGTGCCCAGGGGGAGTGAATCCAGAGCGAACCCCCACCACCCATCTCCAGCCCCTGTGCCAGGATGGGCAAAGCCATGGGGGCTCCAAGTGACAGAGGGCAGGCTTGGGAGGGACAGAGCATGCTTCTGACCTCTGCCCATCCCTGGTTTGCCCATTGCTGGGCTGTTTGTTTGCATGGATGAGAAATAAACCCATGTCTCGTTACCCCCAGTGCAGCAGCTCGACTCTTTCTTGGGGGTGGGGTATCTCAGTGGGATGCTCCAGCACTGGATGATGTGCACTTATGTAAGAGCCAGGGGGGGCTCTGAGGTCAGCGATCGCTGCCCGCTCTCCAGCTCCGATTATCTTGGGATCAGCAGTGCTTGAGGCTTTTTTTTTTCACCCCCATCTTTCTTCTGCTTCTGTAAATAAAACTTCGTATTTGTTCTGCAGTGATTAGGTGCAAAACTAATCCCAGGCCAGGGATTATTGCAGCCTTAAAGAGCTGCGGTCTGCTGCAGACCCATAGGGGAAATAAGGGGATGCAGGATGGATCCTGCTGTCTCTCCCATCTGATTGCCTCCACTCTCAGCCATCTCTTATATCGGGAAACTGAGACCCCAGAGGCACCCAAGCAGAAGGCAGATGTCTGCCCAGCCATGCTCAGGTTTGCTGCTGTTTGCTTCCAACCCTCCTCCATCCATGCACAGTGCACTCACAGGGAGGGGCCCCCACCAGTTTCTTCTCTTTCCACCACATTCCCTGGGCTGAGAAAGCAGCTGCCCCAAACACCCACGCACACCCACCCCAAAGCAGCTGCCCTGTGTCCCAGCACACTGAGCACTGTCCTTACCCCAAATCCCAGCTCACAGAACAAAGACTTTATGTCATATCCCATTGCAAGGTGAGAGCTGGTGTGAAGCCAAGCTTGTTTCCAGCCCCATAGGACAGGCTGATGCAGGTGTGCGCCATCAAGCTCTGCTCATTGCTGGTAATTTTGAGCCCCGTGGCTCCTTTCTGCACAATTAATGAAGGAATGAGGTCTCCAAGGTCAACAAGGTCCTGCCAGCATCATGAGAATTGCTTTATGGAGAGAAAAAGAGCCACGCTGGACACTATCAATCAGGGGCTGCAATACAAGTCAGCATCTGAGGATGCACAAGGAGCTGAATGTCCTGGAAGAGGACATTAGACAATGCCACAGTGGTGGATGATGGGTGCACTGAGCACTGATCTCCTGATCAGAGAGGCAACACAAGACAAATATTCACCCCAGGAGATGGACACCACGTTACCTTCATCACAGATCCAGGATTTAACCACAAAGCAGAACAGAACACTAAGTTGCTCCCAACCCAGCTCAAGGCAAAGCAAAGATCCCAACCTGAACTTAAATGGAGTGTCTGAGCCGTGAGTGGGAGAACAGGTGAAGTTTTCAAAGCAATCAATAATTGCTGATGCCCTCAGGGCTCTGCTAACCCATCGCTTATGTTCTACAGGACACCTTTAAAAGGAGGATGATTTCCCTTCCCCATTGTGATAACATCTGGAGAGATTTTGCTGCCTTCTGGCTTCTGCATCATGCTTCCTGCTGAAATTAGGAGGCTTGGCAAAATTGCTCCCTAGGAAATAAAAGTAAATAGAAAAGAGTGGGAAAAAAAGAGATTCCCTTCCAGTTCACATCGCTCCTCTGAGGGGAGCTCAGAAAGCATCAGCCCACACCTGCAGGGCTGTGCTGGGGATGTGTGGGCACAAAACTCGCAGAGGGCAAATCCGCCTTAAAAACCCCACAAATCAAAAGCAAGAATCACACTGGGTTCCCTTTTCCATCTCAGGGACCCTTAGGGCACAGCTAAAAACAAACAAACAAACAAAACATTTTCCAATGTTTTTGTGCTTATTATCCACACTCAGCTGCAGGAAGGTGGCTGCTGAGGGGGACCCCGTGTCCCTGGTGCTGGAGGGGGCCCGGCCAGACCAGGTCTATTCTTAGCTGGTGGGTGGCCAGGCAGGGCGTGCAGGGCTGCGTTCCTCACATTCCCCTTCCCCAGGGACAAGGAGCGCCTGGAAACACGCAGCAGCAGCTTGGCAGCAACCTGCACCCAGGGGCCAGCAGCAGGGGCCACCCTGGGCAGGGGATGTCAATAGGGGTATATGGCACAAGGTTAGGGTCACCGGGCCCCCTATCCCAGGAGCCTCACATCCCCCATGTTCCCTGCATCAGCCCCTGGGAAGGGACAGGCTGCTTCACCCAGGGTGGTCCCTATGAATGTACCCCCAGCTCTGTGCTGCTGTTTTCTGTCCTTGTCCCCCCTGGCAGTGCCACTCCTGCTTCCTTGGGATGTACCAGAAGAAGTACCCCAAGATGTACCCCAAGAAGTCACCTCATCCTCATACCCACCATTCAGTGCACATGGGACAAAGGGAACCATCCCCAATCCTCCTGCTTGAGCCAATAATTTCCCCACAGAGCAGGGAAGGAATTTCCATGAACTAGAGGTGATGACAGAGCGTGTCACGGAGCCCAAGCATTCAGCTCTCCTCTCCCTCAGCCAAGGAGGATTCCAGACAAGCAGACTCACTGCAGCCACCAGCAGTCACCTCCCAGCAGCGTGACGTGTGGCCGCATCCTGCCCTTACCTGGACATCCCTGCAGCACTGCCTTGAGTTATTGCAGCCTGCTGCTCACCCCATCCATCCTCTGCTCCCCACATCCACTCTCCTGCTGACCCCATCCATCCTCCTGTTAGCCCCATCCATCCTCCTACTCACCCCATCCATCCTCTGCTCACCCCACCCATCCCCTGCTCTCTCCATCCATCCTCCCAATCCCAAGAACGAGGGGAGAGCCATGATCCTGCTCTGTACCTCAGTTTCTCCCTCTGTGCAGAGTGCACATGCAAAATGGTGATGAACTGAGCATGTCACATCCTGGAGCTGAGCTTCCATGGCTTTTTCTGCTGCTTCCAAATGAGAACTGGCCTCTGCTGGGGAAAAACCCCCATGACCTGGCTTAATGTCACCAAGTCCTACCCAGGTTTCCAGACTCCAAACGGGTCTCCTTCTCCCCTGTCCATCCCTGGAGCATCTCCCAGCAGCCGAGGCACAAACACTACCAGGCAGGCAGGATGCCTGTGCCAATTCGGAGACAGCCCTGCTGGCTGCCAGCAGTCCTATCTTTCTGTCCTCAGCCTCACTCTCTAGCTGTGTTTGCAGCCCAGCTCTAATTACAGCAATGTGGAGGAACACCAGCTCACAGTTGGCAAACATTTCTCCCGGCAGGCGTCAGCCGGCAGCTGCAGCGTTGGGATTTGGGTGGTTGCCCATCCTCACCGAGCCCTGTGTCCCCATCCTGCCACTCCATACCCAATCCTATTCCCCCGACCCGACGCCTGCCCTGTGGCTGCAGGTGTGTTCTACCTCCCTGCGCAGTGCAAATATTTTATTTCCTGGTGTTATCCTGCAGAGTCCCGCAGCTCGCTGCCTGCCGGGCAAACCAAACATGCCCTGATTGAACCCAGACTCTGCAGGAACAGATGGTTCGATGGGGATTGCTGGTGCAGGACCAGGAGGGGACGGCACCCAGCACCTGGTCTTCCCAGGAAATCGGGAAGTTTCCCACTGATTTCTTGGGGTGTGGGAAGGAAGGAAAGAAGGGGAAAGGAATAAAACCTCAAAAATGCTGCCTGAGGAGGAGGAAGGAACCGAGCGAAGGAGGAGGAGGAGAAGAGCAGAGCAGGGAGAGAGGATTAATGCTCAGTTGAATTAGAGGGAGCCCTTCAGCTGCCTTGAACAGCAGGATAATTTGCCCAGAGACCCCAGTTCTTCCTATTTGGGATAGAATGTAAGCTCAGGATTAACTGCAAACATATGTTTAAGTCCCAGAGAAGCCCAGGGAATTGAAAGAAGCCTGGGCATAAAGCACTCCTGAGGGCATGGACTCACTGCCTCGTGGATGAACTGGTTTTGACTGGATGAAATGGGAGACTGGGAGAGCCATGGGGGCAATGGGAGAATCATGGGGGCAATGGGAGAGCCAGTGGGGGATTAGGAGAGCCATGGGGTCGCTGGAAAAGTCCTAGGGGCAATGGAAGAGCCGTGAGTGCACTGTTAGAGCCAGTGGGGGATTGAGAGAGCCTTAGTGGACTGTGAGAGAGCCAATGGAGGACTGGTAGAGGGAGCAGGTAGAACCATGGGGGCATTGGAAGAGCCAATGGGGGACTGGGATGCACATCAGTGCACTGAGAGAGACACTGTGGGCAACGGGAGAGCCAATGGGGGATTGGGAGAGCTATGGGAAGCACTAGGAGAGCCACAGAGGCATTGAGAGGCCCTTGGAGCTCAGTCGAAAATAACCTGAGAGAGAATGACAGGATGCATCTCCAGCTGCAAGGGCTGCATGGGGAAGAGGTTTAGTAGAAGGATCTTCCATCAGATGAGATCTCCTGGCCAGAGAAATGAGGACTGAAGGGGCTCCACCTGACATGGCCAGAGGAAAACAAGGCCTCCCAGGCTGCACTAAAGACTGAGAGAGGGGCTGGGGGTCAGTCCTGGGCTCCCTCCCATGTCCAAAGCCCTCCTGGCACCCCCAGTCTCCCCTCTGTGCATCTGCTCACTTCTGGGGAGGGCTGGAAGCCGACACGTGCCCACATCATCGGGCACATCCGCATCCACGTGACGTGTCCACAAACAGGCCGGGCTGATTTATGGGATGAGAGGAGGGCAGGAGGCCAACCTTAAATCCTGACTGCCCGGTGATTAATAATCAGAATTATGATCATATTAGCCATAAAAATAATAGTTTTCTTTCCCTTGCAGAAACGGTCACCCAGGAATCTCAAAGCAGTTTCATAAGGCTGAGTGACCGACGTCCCTATTTTCTAGTGAGGAAATTGCAGCACAGAGCTGTCTCCCTTGAGTCACCAAGTATATCAACAAGAAAACAGAGGAGGCAGGAGCCTGGACTCTGTGTCCCTCTCCCTCCCCCATGCTATTAAGCTGCATCTCTGTAATATAGAGCAAAATATCCTCCACGACTCGCAGTAAATCATGGCAGAGGCAGTGTGCAGAGTGGATGGGGGGGGAAGATAATGGGTTTTTCACCCTGTTCAAGAATGGAATAAGTTTTTCTCTGCTGGGGGAAGGCTGACTTCCATGACAAACAGAGGTAAAAGCAGCAGCACTGCTCTGCAATGGGCTTTCAGGGCTTCTGGCTGTGCCCACCCACTTGC